ATATTTGGACACGATTCGATCATGAAAAAACATGCATTGGAAATTAAGGTGACCAACTTTATTCCAAAGATCACAAGTAATAGGACAAAGAGAACATAATATTGTAGCAAATTCATCTATCACTTTGAGCAAAGAATTGATTCTATCATGTTTATACTTCTTGCAAAATCTATCTTCCCTATAAGGCACGTCTTCACAAACTTTATGCACTCCACAAAAATTGGCATGCTTATAAGAAACATTTTTGTCATGACTTGTGCAATCATTATTAGCATTTTGGATATTCAAAGAATTCATACTAACATCATTGCAATCATTCTCATCATTCAAATATTTTGTGCCAAACATTTTATTGACTTCTTCTTCTAACAATTGAGCACAATTTTCCGATCCATCATTTTCAAGAAAGATATTATAAAGATGATAAATAATATGATGCAACCTCAATTCCATTTTTTATGTAGTATTATTTTATAAACCAAACTAGTGATAAAACAAGAAACTAAAAGATTCAATTGCAAGATCTAAAGATATAACTTCAAGCACTCACCTCCCCGGCAACAACGCCAGAAAAGAGTTTTGTTGACGGGGTGTGAGTGCCGCTTACCTAACCTCCCCGGCAACGGCGCCAGGAAAGAGCTTGATGTCTACTATGCAACTTTATTCTTGTAGACACGTGTTGGGCCTCCAAGCACAGAGTTTTGTAGGACAGTAGCAATTTTCCCTCAAGTGGATGACCTAAGGTTTATCAATCCGTGGGAGGCGTACGATGAAGCTCTCAAACAACCCTGCAACCAAATAAAAAAAATTCTCTTGTGTCCCCAACACACCAAATACAATGGGAATTTGTATTGGTGCACTAGTTCGGCGAAGAGATGGTGATAAAAGTGTAGTAATGATAGTAGATATTGATTTTTGTAATAAGAACAATAAAAAACAGCATGTAGCAAGTAACAAAAGTGAGCACAAACGGTATTGCAATGCTTGAAAATGAGGCCTAGGGTCCGTACTTTCGCTAGTGCAATCTCTCAACAATGCTAATATAATTGGATGACATAACCATCCCTCAACGTGCAATGAAGAATCACTCCAAAGTTCTTATCTAGCGAAGAACATAAGAAGAAATCGTTTGTAGGGTATGAAACCACCTCGAAGCTATTCTTTCCGACCGATCTATCCAAGAGTTTGTACTAAAATAACACCAAATAATTTTAGATTCATAATACTCAATCAAACACAAAGAACCTCAAAGAGTGCCCCAAGATTTCTACCGGAGAAACAAAGACAAGAACGTGCATCAAACCCTATGCATAGATTACCCCAATATCACCTCGGGAATCCGTGAGTTGAGTGCCAAAACATATATCAAGTGAATCAATACGATACCCCATTGTCACCACGAGTATTCATATGCAAGACATATATCAAGTGCTCTCAAACCCATAAAAGTATTTAGTCCGATAAATCAAAATCTTAAAAGAAAAACTCAATTCATCACAACAAGATAGAGAGGGGAAAACACCATATGATCCGACTATATTAACAAAGCTCGCGACACATCAAGATCGTGACATCTCAAGAACACGAGAGAGAGAGAGAGAGAGAGAGAGAGAGAGAGAGATTTAACCACATAGCTACTAGTACAAACCCTCAGCCCCGAGGGTGGACTACTCCCTCCTCATCATGGTGGCTGTCGGGATGATGAAGATGGCCATCGGTGATGATTCCCCCCTCCGGCAGGGTGCCGGAACGGGGTCTATATTGGTTTCTTGTGGCTACAGAGCCTTGCGGCGGTGGAACTTCTGATCTAGGGTTACCCCCAAGGGTTTTGGAATATTTCGCAATTTATAGGGCAAAGAGGGGGTGCGGGAGGCCACCGAGGTGGGCACAACCCACCTGGGCGCGCCTAGGCCCCCAGGCGCGCCTTGGTGGGTTGTGCCCCCTTGGGGCACAACCCAGGTGCTTCTCTGGCCCACTGGATGTCTTCTGGTCCGTAAAAAAATCCACAAAAAGTTTCATGGTGTTTGGACTCCGTTTGATATTGATTTCCTGCGATGTAAAAAAACAAGCAAAAACAGCAACTGGCACTGGGCACTGGGTCAATAGGTTAGTCCCAAAAAATGATATAAAGTTGCTATAAAATGATTGTAAAACATCCAAGAATGATAATATAACAACACGAATACTTCATAAATTATAGATACGTTGGAGACGTATCAGCATCCCCAAGCTTAATTCCTAGTCGTCCTCGAGTAGGTAAATGATAAAAAAAAATTATGAAGTGTGAATGCTAGCAAAGTGCACAAGTTTGATCGATGACAATTTCAATCACTTTTTCTAGCATCATAACAACAATTCTTTCTTATAAAACTTCTCATGTTAAAGTAGCAACCAATTCACATGTTAAGGTTCAGACAACGAATTCTCTTGAAACTCAACAACCTATGTTCTTAGTCACCAAGCAATTGCAATTCAACTTATTCAACAGAGTCTAAGTAAGAGCTCCACATACTCAACCATCATATAGTCTTCTATAATTTCTAACACTCACCGCATACACATGAGCAAAACGTTTCAACCGGACACATAGAAAGATAGGGGCTTATAATTTCGCCTCCCAACGTATTCACCTCAAGGGTATTGTCAACAATAATAACTCATGATACCCATATCCAACTTGATATATGTGCCTAGATCTTTCCTCAACACATGATTCTTGCCAAAAGAGAAAAATAAAAAGGAATAGAGAGAAAAACTTTGACTCTTGGATGAAAGTAAATACATAAAAGTAAAAAGTAGGCCCTTCGCAGAGGGAAGCAGAGGTTGTCATGTGCTTTTTGTTTGTATGCTCAATCCCTTAGTGCAAAAGAACATCACGTTATATTCCCCTTATGATAGCAACCTTTATTATGCAGTCTGTCGCTTTATTCTTTACCATCACAAGTTCGTACAACGCTCAATTTTCTCTTACAATGATCTAACACTTTTAGAAGCAATTTTTATTGCCTTATTGCACCGATGATAACTTACTTGAAGGATCTTACTCAATCCTTAGGTAGGTATGGTGGACTCTTGAAAATAAGATTTGGGTTTAAGGGTTTTTGGATGCACAAGTATTATCTCTACTTGGTGGGAATTTTTGGCTGGCAAAGATTGGAGGGCAAGCACAACATGTTGAAGGAGGTGCCTATGGGCCTCACTACCCATCAGGGCACGCTAGAGGCCCCTGATGCGCCCTGGTGTCTAGTGAGCCCCCACCTTCATCTTCTCGTATACTCCAGAAGCTTCCAGGGTCTCTTATCACCAGAAAAAAAATCTCCAAAAAGTTTCGTGTCATTTGGACTTCGTTTGGTATTGATATTCTGCAAAGTAAAAAATCAAGCAAAAAATAGCAAACTGACACTGGACACTAGGTTAATAGGTTAGTTCCAAAAGTGATATAAAATTGTTAGTATATATATATAAAACATCCAAGGTTGATACATTAATAGCATGGAATAATAAAAAATTATAGATACGCTGAAGACGTATCAGGGCCCACCACCCACCCCACTCCCCATCTTTCTTCTCCTTTTCTCTCTTTCTCCCCGTGCACGCCACCGGGCACGCCGATGCGGGCTTGGCGCCAAGGCGGAGGAGCTCGAGGGACGGGCGAGGCAGCGGAGGGAGTCTGCGCCGATGACCTTGCCACCGCGGTCGGTGTCGCTCGAGAGAACGTTGCGGTCGGTCCCATGGATCTTGTAGTAGGAGAGCACGTCGTCGCTGAGCGCGAACCATCGTGGCCTTAACCCCGTCAGGCGGCAAGGAGGGGCCGCCGTCGCCGTCAACGCTGACACCCGCCAGGTGCGCCCGCCGCTCGCTGGCTGCCGAGTTGTTGCTGCAGTGGGCGGGGGCCGCTACCGCGGAGGGCTCGCCGCCGCTGCAGAGGCGGAGGAGACTGACACAGGGGGCACGGAGGAGACCGGCGCTGGCCGACGGGGAGGAGGTCGGGGCTGGCCAGCGGGGAGGAGGCCGGGTACGATGCTGGCCAGCGGGGAGGAGGCCGGGTACGGGGCGAGCTGAGCGGAGCGGCGAGCTGCGTGGCGGCACAGAGCGAGCTGTGGGCAGGCGCTGCGAGTGCGCGGGGCGGGTGACGGGGACACGGCATGACGTGGGCGGGAGCTGCGGGGCGGGACGGCGACGCGGAGGTGAGCTCGCGGGTGCGGGGACGGGGCGAGCTACGCGGCGAGGCGGTGCAGGAGCTCGCCCACCATATGTTTGACTGAATGCCGACGTGAACATGCACAAAATGCGTCTACCTCCCACCGAGCGTACTGACCGACGCAAACGGAAAAACGGACACGAACGGGCAGACCGACGATGCAAACGGACAAAAAAGCTGATAAAATCGTTGTCCATTTCGGTCAGGCCGTTGGGGTTGCTCTTAGCAAACTTGTGTGTTGGAAGTCGGAACCGACCCAGCCAAAGGGCCACCACTGTCACACAGCGGACCATTCGCATCCACAGCCGACAGCCACTCTTCCAGAAGCCCCAAATCCACAAAGCCCTCACCGGCGCCGCTGTCGGCCATGGCCGAGCACCTGCAGGCACCGTTCAACAACGTCAACCCAGTGATGGCGGCCGACCCGCACGAGAGGGAGCGATGCGCAAAGCTGATGCTAGCGTACATCTACCACAACCTCCCCGACTACCCCCTCTACAACGGCGCGCGGCTCACCGCCCTCCCCGCCGCCCGCATCAGCCGCCTCCCCCGCGAGATCCTGCGCGACATCGTCGCCCGCCTCCCCGTCAAGGACGCCGCGCGCACCGCCGTGCTCTCCTCCCGCTGGCGCGCGCTCTGACGTTCCACGCCCCTCGTCCTCGTCGACATCCACCTCCTCCCCAAAGCCCAGGCCTTCCGCCCAACGCCGGCCAACTCGCCGGCTGTCATCGCCGCCGTCTCCCGCATCCTCGAAGCGCACCCGGGCCCCTTCAGCTGCGTCCACCTTATCTGCAGCCAGATGGACGGGTACCGCGCCCAGCTCGCGCGCTGGCTCCAGCTCCTCGCCGCCAAGGGCGTCCAGGACCTCCTCCTCGTGAACCGCCCGTGGCCGCTCGAGGTGCCCCTCCCCGCCACGCTCTTCACCATCACCACCCTCACCCGCCTCTACGTCGGCGTCTGGAAGTTGCCGGGCACGGCCGCCCTGCGTGGCGCCTCCTTTCCCCGCCTCCGGGAGCTCGGCCTCTATTTCGTCGAAATGGAGCACGGCGTCGTCGACTCCCTCGTCGCCAGGAGCCCCGTCCTGGAGATCCTCAACATCGTGGGATGCATGAAGGGTGGGTTGCGTCTACGTCTCGTCAGCCAGAGCCTGCGGTGCCTGCAAATCTGCGGCTTTGTTTTGGAGGACATCGCCGTGGTGAAGACTCCATGCCTCGAGCGGTTCATCCTGTCATCGCCTTGCAAACCCGCTGGTGGCTTGTGCACCAGGCTCAGGATTGTCGATGCCCCCAAGCTGCAGGCGTTTGGATATTTAGAGCCAGGACAGATCCTAGAGGTCCAAGGCACTGTCATCATGGTACATCTCCCTTCTCCATTTCTTCAGTCAGCAAATATAATTATGTGATGACTCAATTGTGTGATGTTCTGCTCGAATTCGGCGAATTTCAGCCCGGAATAAAGGCGAGCGAAAGTGCCTTGCTCACAAGCGTGAAGATTCTTAGTTTGAATGTGTGTTTCGGGGTTAGCAATGACGTTAAGATGGTGCCCACCTTCCTCAAATGCTTTCCCAACGCCGAGAGACTGCATATTATGGTATTTGTCACCAATCCATATTCTGCTTACATTTGCATGGATTTCTCGCCTGTTGTTGCTGGTTGTGATAGGCTGGTAGCTCTTTATATGTGGTTGCAGAGATACTGCATATTATGATTGATTGCATATTTCAAGTCAGTCATCATGATAGCTCTTTATTTGATCTTTTTCCTTTTGTTTCATATTTATGTGAGCACTTATAGGTTAAATTCCATGCCTTGCTATTTGTTCTCAGCCACCATCTACATGTGTAGACTATACTATACAGATAAAATTATTAAGCATTTCATGCTGATCAGTTGTTGATACTTGGTAAGTGTTTTTTTTTTGTGGCACAATCATTATTATTTTGATACCTTGATTTTTGGTGCTTTGCTTCTTTACGTATGTCCAACTTTTCTTGTTCTAGTGTTTCTCGCTGTGTTCATACGAGTTACTGTAACAGATGGAATACTTATTTCAGACTTTTGAAAGTTACACATAGTAAACTAGCACATCAAAGTAGACAGTTTCCTGAGGCTTTCCAGTATTAGTACTACCATGATCGCTATATTGATGCTACTACACTAGTTTAACCATATCAGGATCTTGGGAATTTTTCTCCTAGTAATTTATTATAGAAAGAGGCTATTGTAGCTCACATCCAGAAATTCGTATTGAAGATCAAATCTGATAAAATGTTGTTAAGACTAAAGTCATCCACTGCGGTGTCGGTGTACAGAAGTAGGGGCTCTACTTTGCACCCCTTTACCTGTGCATGGGCAGTCAGAGCCGCCCCTGCGGCCACACTTAGCAGGGCAGAGGAGGGAAGCTGAAGCCACGGGACGATCGAAGCGACGCCAAGACAGAAACGCAAAGAGCGAGAGGGCGAGGTGGCTCCCCCGGCAAGACCCTTGCCGGGGCGGCCTCCGCAGCCCTGGCAAGAGTCTTGCCGGGGCAACCTGCCCAACACCAACAAAGCGCGCCACCCTTGAGCCCGAGTTTTCCATCACCATCAACCACATTGGAACCAAGGCTCGGGAGGCGCCTCCATGGTGGCATGCAGATCTTTGTGAAGATCATTAACACACAATATGAGATGAGGACCAGAAGACGAGACCTCCGGCAACATCCTTGCCGGGGACGACCGCAGTGGCAAGACCTTTGCCGGGCCCCCCGGCAAGACCCTTGCCGAGGACATCAGCGAGGCCGCGGCCAGGCCCGCACGCGTCAAGACCCCACCGTCGTTCCCATGCAGTTGCCAGCCCAGCCAGCTAGGCGGGCACCTGTGTGGCGACGTGCGGTCCCGAGGCCAACTCAGCAAGCACCTGCGTGGTGGCATGCAGATCTTCGTGAAGACGCTGCCACGGCGCCACCTCAGCAGCCTGCCAGCCTACATGGCGCTGCCCGCCTCGCTGGCCTGGACGCGCGTCGAAGCAGGGCGAGGCGGCGATAAAGCAGGGGGACACCTCAGAGGCGCATTTAATGCGTCTTGTCCCGTAATGACAAGGGATAAACATAGCTACTGTACCCTTTACACCTCCTGTGTGCCACTGTGGCGCCTCCTTCAACTATAAAAGGAGGCCCGAGGCGTACTGGAGGGGGATTCGGCTCTTTGGGCAAGTCACGCTCAATAGCTAGTTCAAGAACACTGATATACACACCAAAGCAGGACTAGGGTATTACGCGACCTCCGCGGCCCGAACCTGGGTAAACGACCTTTGTGCTGGCTCCTGGACCCGCTCTTCTCGCAACCCCGCGCCCGCCGACCACAGTAGGGATCCTGTTGATCCCATAGGTGTCATTCCCACCGACATGCGGACTGAAGTTTGCAGCCTCACAAATATCTTAATTTGCTGTCCATGTTTTTTCTTTTCTTTGCACTACTAGGCTATTTAGTAATTAGTACATTCTGCTACTTTCATCCGTTGAAGTATAGAGTTGTCATTGAGGGTCCTAGTTGTCACATGTCATACAAATCTGATCCAACATTTAGTTATGGACCATTATAATTTGCAGTATTTAGTGTTGAGCAGCTAGCTCTACATGTGGTGTACATGCTGAGTCTTAGCTAATGGAAACGACAGTCAACAGAAGTCTACTCAACACTGACCATGTTTCTAAGGATACCCCCTCTTGAAAGTTGTTTCCTGAACAACAATATTAATAATACAATTGCCTTTTCAAACCTTCTCTTTCCGGTTCCAGACAGCTAATGAAAACTACGTACGTACCAATTTATCTCAGCTTATTCTTGCCTTGCTTACAATGTTAGTAATTTCCTCTACACGGCAGAAGGTTTTTTCCCATCTTGCAGCAGATTTTGTTGCTTGTGGTGTTCTCACTTATTTGCATGCTAAGTAATTTATCCGTGAATAACAGAATAAGATGATGATAATATCATCAATATGATAGGCATACTTGACCAGTATGGCTAAAAAAAGCCAATCATTGTTATTTATTCTCATCCATCAGGTGTTTTCTACGAACATAGACTAGATTTGTTAAGACAATTTTTACCAAAGTTTTGTTGTGACACAGTTTATAATGCTATTATTTTGATTTATATTGTTCTGCTTCTTCATGTTCTGCTATTTCTGGATTTTCTTGTTCTAGTTTTTTTTCATTGTGTTCATACTTCATACAGTTTGCAGTATTTGTCTTCGATTAAGTAATAAATAGGGAAAGTTCTTGTTGTACCCCCATACCAGTGTATTAACTGGTATTCATGGCTCACATTTGGAAGTTTGTGTTGAAGAATACTTCTGGTAAACCTTCAGCTGTTTAAGACCTCCACAGTAAACTGAAATCTGATGCCCCACTTTTTAATTTGTTATAGATGAGAGAGGCTGCATATGTAGTGACAACACCGACACAGTATTTTTTTTTTTGTTCCAGTAGGCTGATTTGTGCTAGTTTAATGCATGGCAGTATTGATTTTTCATTTCTTCAACAACATAGTTAATTTGAGGTTTGGTTCATTCACCATGTCAGCCTAGCTTTGTCAGATGCTTTCCCAGCTGTTGACTGATTTAATCTATTTTTTGCAGAGCGCAAAATGTGGTCAGCCCACTGGTAACCGCCTCACCGTCAAGTTCTGGGAGGAGTCTGATCCCAAACAAAACCTCCTCTCGCGCATCAACATGCTGACTTTCCGGGAGTTCAAAGGGGACCGAGGTGAGGTTGGCTTCCTAGAGTTCGTCTTTCAGAGTGCACGGGCGCTGGACAAGGTAGCTATTTTCATGGCCAATCCAAGCTTCACGCGGTTCTCGACGGACGAGGCGCTTGTCAAGGCGCAATACAGCGCTAGAAACCTGGCGAGTAAATATTGTGAAAAGTGCATCATCTGGAGTAGCCGTCCTGAAGGAGGCGATGCTTGGAGCCTCAGAGTCGGGGCAGATTTCTCCTTCGAGGACCCGTTCACGGTGATGCCGGCGAGGAAGGAGGACAGCTGATCTTACAGTTTCTGTGGAGAAGTGGACTCACTTTTTTATGCAAACTATGAAGTGTAGTGGTATTTGTTGCTCGCTGTGCTGCACTTGTGATTGTCTTTCAAATTTGCAGCTTGGTGCCTGGTAAGCAGACTACACTGTATTTTGGAATTCTTTCAGCTTACAGGTTGTGTGGCTGTGTGCTTCAGGCCACTGTTGCTGATGTTGAGTGAGGCTGTTAGCTAAAGCCTCAGTATACATCAAGAAAGGATCTCTAGTTCTCTGCATCTTTGCATTGGGTAGCTACTCCAAAATTTGTGTCAGTGTGAGATACACGACACACTGATGAGGCTCATGAAGTTATTTTTCTTGCCTGGTGTATTACATAGCTGTCCGTTTCTATGCAGCACAGCAAAAATGGTACTTTGAGATTTTGACTGCATGCATTCTTGACACTGACGTGTTGCCGAGAATCATGTCCTGATAATCTAACGCATTTTTCAGCACTATAAAACTGCATTTTCCCCTACTTGAGTACTACCTTTCAGTTGAATTTTCTCCAATCCATTCATTTCAAACTTTGTGAAACACATCAATCACAACATAACAAGAATCAGTTTAGTCCACTTGCTTAAGAATCTTCAATTCCATGATCCATGTGTACAGTAAAAAACGTAAAGTAATGCCTCTACATACACTTGTACAATAAAAATGAAATCAGCAATTTTGCACAGAAACAAAATATATGTATACATTCTTCAAAACGTAGGGAAATCAGCTAAAGTTGAAAATTACACGTTTCAGAAAGAGATGAAAGATAAAAGAAGAACGCAACTAGCAAAACCCGAGAATGCGCTCAACATGGTGTGCTACAGATTTTGCAAGGCTGTCCGCTGCTTCCACGGTAGATGCCTCTGCGTATACTCTTACCACATCCTCAGTTCCAGATGGCCGCACAAAGCATCGCCCGTGAGAGTAATTAACTGCAATAAAATACATAAGTTTTAGTACATTTTCATTCACCAATGTTCAGATTTTAAATGTAACAAAAATGTCACACAATTAAGATATTACTCACCGACTTCCTTATCTATCAATTCTTGCAAGCCAGATGGTTGGCAAACTTTTCGTTCTGCATCGGTTGTAACAATAGAAGTTCGATCTTTCACTTTAACCTGAACAACAGTCACATTATTATGGAAACAAAATAGTCATAAGAAGCTTGACCAAGAAGTTAAAGAAATAGTGAATTATATAATTACAAAAGTAACAACTTACCTTAAGTTGTTTACTTGGTAGATCAGTGTATAGGTCACACCAATTCTGAAATGACCATCTCTTATGCTGTAAAACAGCCTCCACCAAAAGCATTCCACTTATAGCATCACCCACTGCTTGATTAATTAATTGACTTGTTGCTACCAATCTCAACGCAGCTTGGTGCTGTGGAGAACCTGAGGAAAGAGTTATGGCGAAGGGCATTTAGATCAATACAGGAAAACCAGCAAAAGAGCTAAAAAGAAAAGAGCTTTTGCACAAGCCATGAATAGCTCACCTGCAGCTTCAGAAAGCCTAGCAGTCAAAGACTCAAGCCGTGAGACAAACTCATCATTGAATAGCACTGTCCCGTGTCCATTGGCCTCAAAGTAGACACCAATATCATATTCTAGAGCTTTCTTGTGGAGATATTTCACTCCTGTTGAAGTGAAGACAACTTCAAGACCAATATTTTTAAGAAATTCTGTTGATGCCCCATTGGCATAAGCAGTTTGAACTACACCAAACCTTGTAGGCAATAATCCTTTATTGTCTTTTCCATTGATGATATCCAACTGTTCTCTGATAAAGAGGACAAATAGTGATAATATCTTATCGCCATCGACAAGATCAACACTAGTCTTGCTAAGCGATGTAACATGAAAATAAACAAGTCTATCTGCATCACCATCGAAACTTGCACACCTGAGTGTTATATCAGAATGTCCACATAAGTATCTATCAATGTGAACAAAACGCAGCAAATCTAAACAGTAACCAATACTCACCTGACACCAACATCATTAGGGCCAAATCCAAGAGGAAGAACCTTCTCCTTTTGAACAAAGTCAGCACCACATCTCTCATTAAGTATTCCATCTCCTTCTTTTCCTGAATTTCTCACAAGAATGTTTAATCTGGCAAGATTTGGCTTTATTTGTTCCAATTTCAACCCACCAATACCATTTGCGCCATCCACAATTAGTTTCTCATTTAGTTCATCGATGCCTTTATCATCAGGGGTTAATTCCAACAAATGCCTGTTGTGCCAATCAATGCAATTGTTCAGCAAATAATGCAGTGTTCTCCGTGACTGATTACACGTGCAGGAATGACAAACGACCTGAATGACTCAGTGATTTGTGTAAAATAATCTGCTTCAGAGGCTTTCAAGCCTCTGTTTTTGTTCCGAACCATCCAGTGTAGCTGCGGAGTTGTCAGGATCCCCATGTCAAGTGCAACTGAACCTACTATTGCGCTTATACCCTTCACAAAAGTGTTTCAGATAAGTAATCAGATCAACTCAGCCAACAGATAAGTCAGTACTATACTAAAACATAACAGAGGGTGTTAATGCCGTACTTTGGTTGCAACGTCAAGGAGGTACTCTCCAGTGGGCCTCGTGTCTCTTGCCAGCAGCACTTGTGCCGAGTGACCTCCACCAAGTGTAATCCCCTCGTCCTTTGCAAACTGAATCACCAGCTGCATATGAACAAAGACCAAGGCAAACTGAGAACGAACTAGAAGGTTGGTAGGAACTACGAGTAATTTATAAGTAACAAAGTGAACATCTTAGGCATCCCACTAGTCCAATGCAATGGTAAAACCGAGGCATTCTATCCTGGTTTGGCTTTCGAACACCATCAGTACAGTGCTACAGTTAGCATCACTATACTTTCTTTTATCCAACAACTAACTGAGGCATTAGCAAACAAACCTAAGAGAAACAAACAGCAAATATGTACCGAGCAGGAAGAACCGGTATATAATTTAGCTGAATTGATCTTTTCGACTACCTGCAGGAGGGTGTTGGGGGTGGGGGCATTGGCGAGGGCGTCGGAGAAGGGCTCCCAGGCCTGCGACATCATGCCGCCGTCGGCGTCCACGATCTTGACGCCGTTGTCGCCGACGGGGTTGTGCGACGCCGTGATGACCAGCCCGACGGCGGCGCCGCCCAGCTTCACGGAGCGCAGCGCTGCCACGATTCCGGCGCGGCACACCGCGGGGGCCATGGTGCTCCCGTCGGCACGGAATCCCGCCGTCCCGTAGGAGAAGGTCGCGCCGTCGGGCACGGGGAAGAGGGACGCCGCGGCGAGCAGGGCCGCGCGCTGCTCGTCTCCTGGGTCGGCCATGGCAGCAGGCGCGGATCTGGATGGTGCTGGGAAGCTGGGGCGCGATGGGGGGAGCGAGCCTGGCTGGCTGGGTTGGACTGGAGCCTGGGATGATCAGAATCGAAGTTGACTCGGAAGAGGTGATGCGGATGTTTTTTTTTACAGTACAGACACAAGCGCTCGTATACTCATCCCTATGAACGCACACACGCACACCCTACCCCTATAAGCACCTCCGAGAGACTGAACTGGCATTCATCTTGAGATTTACGAAGTCACCATAGACGCCTCGTCGTCGACGGGAACGTCTCCTCCCACTGAAAGCGCATCGGCGAAAATCCTGAAATAAATCCAGGAATAATACAAGCACCAGGATTTGAACCCTCGTGGATTGGGGATACCACTGTCCACCTAACCATCTTAACCACAGGTTGGTTCGCGAGGTGATGCGGATGTTGATCAGTTGTGGTTCACTTCAGATCGTTGGGCGAAGGGATCACCCAGACCAGGGATCCTACGACGAAAGTGTTCGTATGCTCTAATCTAACAGTAAAATCAAAAGAAAATGAAAAAAAACAAAAAAAAACTGATTTTTTTGTGTGTGTAACCTTTGACCAATGTTTTCTATGCTTGAAAATTTTCGTCATGGAATGACATTCGTTGATAGCTTTTTTGGAGTCGGTTTTTTGGCCGCGACTTTCAGAAATTTTCATTCATGATAATTCTTTTGCAGGCACGTAGAACATCAGTCAAGCGTTATCAAGAAAAAAATCAGAATTTTTTAAATTTGTTTATTATTTTTTTTCATTTTACTGTTGCACCAGGCGCATTTGAGCTTGCGTGCAAATATTCCACGTCCATCCTACGCGTGCTTCTAAGAGCATTTCCAATAAATGATATAACGTAATAGATGCAAAAAGAATCGAATTTTACATCACAAAGATACTAAAACCATGAAATTTGTTCCACCTGTGTGAAATTTGTCGTTGTTGGGGAACGTAGTAATTTCAAAAAAATTCCTACGCACACGCAAGATCATGGTAATGACATAGCAACGAGAGGGGGGAGTGTCCGTCCACGTACCCTCGTAGACCGTAAGCCGAAGCGTTATGACAACGCGGTTGATGTAGTCGTACGTCTTCACGATCCGACCGATCCAAGCACCGAACGTACGGCACCTCCGAGTTCAGCACACGTTCAGCTCGATGACGATCTCCGGGCTCCGATCCAGCAAAGCTTCGGGGATGAGTTCCGTCAGCACGACGACTGGTGACGATGATGATGTTCTACCGGCGCAGGGCTTCGCCTAAACTCCGCAACGATATGACCGAGGTGGAATATGGTGGAGGAGGGCACCGCACACGGCTAAGGAACGATCCGTAGATCAACTTGTGTGTCTATGGGGTGTCCCCCTGCCCCCGTATATAAAGGAGGGAGGGGAGGCCGGCCGGCCCCTTGGGTGCGCCAAGGGAGGAGGAATCCTCCTCCTAGTAGGAGTAGGACTCCTCCTTTCCTACTCCTACTAGGAGGGGGAAGGAAGGGGGAGAGGGGGAAGGAAAGAGGGGGGCGCCCCCCCCCCCCC